TATTTTCCAAATGCACTGTATTGTAAGACTACCTCTCATAATCCTTAATCATTGGTCATGCTGGCTAGTGTTGGTAGAGTTGAATTCCAGGAGGATCTGGAGAGCCTACCCCATTCTGGAAGCTTTTGTTGACTATTAAAGAGCCTCTGTTCCCTTCTTCTCAGGTGATGGAGACTTGTGATGATGGCTGGACTCTAACAGGATGCAATGCCCAGTCGCATAGCCCCAACATTCTTGGGGCATATTCAGTGGACAACACCTGCATTGTCATCAGCCAACCAGGAAGCAAAGGAGCAACAGCAGTTGCCATCTGCTGCAGAAAGAGGCTCTTAGAGGATGAGAAGCAAAGTTCCAGTTACAAGTGACAATTTTACCCTTTTCCCCTTCAAGTATCCAAGGGACCCTCAAATTATGACAATTGCCATATATGGTCACACTTGTGAACGCAGTAGTCCCTTGAGAAAATATTTGTGTAAGTAGGACTCCAGCACAGCTTGGGATTGTTTGTGATAGCCTTAGAATAACTGTTCCAAATGTGCACTTCTACAAAATATTGCCCCTCTGGCAATTTCCCCATATTTGCTATCAAGAGATGGGTCTTGTTGATGCCTCAGTAATATCAATTGAGCTACATTTGTAAAATAACTTTGGCCAATAAGCTTCAGATATGTTTTTTCAGCAACCTTTCATTTATAGTCAATGACTTCCTGACTTTTTAGGATATAGTTTTTGTCAACCATCCACTAGTTCAATACATTTATGCCTATAGTTGCATAGGATGCCGGGGGGCAGGCAGAAGGATGAAGAAGGTAACAGTTTCTGTGTAATTCTTTAGCTTGGTCACAATCTTTCATTGGCTTATGAATTATAACCAGAAACATCTTTGTGTACAATAGAAATGCTGAAACTACAAAAGGTGAAAGCATTAATACTTTAATTCTGCCCAGGATAGCAGATTAAATGCAGAGCATACCAATTATCATTATGTCCTGTTTTTTTGGAAGTCTTTTTATATAGTAAGTTATATAGTAAGTATTTTGGGACAAGGGTGTGCAACCCTTCCTTCTAGAAGTCTTGTGCAATTAACAAAGCATCTTCTGTAGCTGAATTGTTACATAACAGTTTAACTGTTTAATGCTTTAAAAGCATATTCAATGTGATAGAATTGGGAAGTGTTTGTCCTGGCTCTGCTCACTTCTAGTGATTTTACAGCATTTGCAGCTCTTAGCCTGAAAAAGCTTTGATTACCTAGGAGCTAGTTTGTAAACATTACTGTTTTCTGTCATCTGTTTCCAGTGCCATAATGCAAAACTGCTTAACAATGGGTTGTAGCAGGTCTGAAATAGGATTTTAAAAAGTCTACTGAAATTATACCTAGCTATAACCCGTAACTCATAACCCAGGTACGACTGGAAAAAACCCAAGTTTAAATATATACTAAACTTTATACTGCTTGCCTGAAGATTCTTTCCTATACTGCCCAATGGCACAGAAATTTCAGAGAACTTGCTGTGATTTAGTAAAGGCAGTGAGGACAGATAATATGTACATCTGCAGCATTTAACACTCTCTCTCACATGTTTCTATTTCTCCTATGCCTTGCATTCTTGCAAACTTGAATCTGCTCCACTGAATATGCGACAGAATGGCCAAGTTGATTTCTACAAAGCTGTTTCTAAACCAAGGACACTCTTTTATCACAGGTTTTATCCTCAGACTAACTTTTAAGACAAATTCCTCTTGTCTTTCATACACACAGCCTGTCCCCAGAAAACAATTACCGTAATTGCATTACTTAATATAGTAAAATAATTCTAGATGAACTACAGTAGTTTCTGTAGCCATGAATGGGGGAAGCCCTGCAAAAAGCAGAGCAAGCAGGTAAGATCAGCGTGGAGAACTACTAGCCTTCTAGATGCTGCTGAAGCTCCATCCTCTTATTATGAAAAATACTGGGAATTGTAGCTCAGTGACATTTGAAAAAGGTTTATCACTGGACCCCAGGAAGACCACTGAGCCAATGAAGAACAGCTCTATACACAAGCAAACCTGAAGCTTTCAAAGGCACTTAAGACTTAGAGCTCCTGCATTCATGCCCTTAAGGCAACCACGAAGCCAAGAAAACTCTGGGTAATTTGCACCAAACAGTTTAGTTTGCTAATAAAATATTTGGTAGCAACCATTTAAGTTGGTTTTTCAAGGCAGGCTATTATTATCAGTAAACGTCTTTCCCTCTTTGGCATTTATACTTGTTTACCAAATGTTTAATTGCCTATATAGTTGAATCTTTAACCATATGTATGTCCAATTACTGGGTAAATTTTTTTTAACCAAGGGACCATATACATGTTTCCTTAAAAGTAAGTTTCCTTCAAAGTAAGTGTGTATTGCATTGCAGCCTAAGCTGCATTTCTGCTTTAGAAAGGACAAAAAGAAAATTGAATCATGAACGGAGTAAACTGCATGTGATTCTTTGTATGCTGTTTTGAGGTTAATACTCAGATTTATTATCTACTGTAATTCCTACTTGCTTGAGAGAAGACTTCTTCGTGCTATGGATTTTACTTTTTTATCTGGAATCTATTTATTCTGTTTTATATAACATTTTATAAGGCAATTTGTTTTTGAAATAAAGTTTCATAGAATTTTAATGTGGCTGCATTTATGTAGCTGTACTTAAACTCTTCCTCTGCACTTATCTACAATTACATTTAAGGAAAGGGGACAGAATTTTTTTTTATAAATTTATCATCTTTTTTCATTAGAGATTCAAGCTCATGTGTGATACCCATTGTAAAATGTGTGGCAAAACAAAATATTTAGGAGGTATATAGCTTACTAGAATATACATTCAATACAATATACATGTATTGAAAAGAGGCTTGAAGATAGGGATAAAAAACACCCTCAAACTTTTTAGTATAACTGATATTGCCCTATTATATTTCACATTTCCTCTAGGCAGGAGAATACAGAACATTACTCCCACTAGAATCCAAAACTCTTGCATCTGGTTTGGGAGACAGAAGAAAAATAGCCCCAGTTCAGGGCAGCCTGATGCTACAGAGTCATGTATGCAAGACAAAGTAAGATTGGAAAAGTACCGTATTTTTCTGACTATAAGACGGTACTTTTTTCTAAAATCTTTACGCTAAAAATTGAAGGGTGTCTTATTCAAGGAAGTAAGCCGAGGAGAGAACCGCGCGGTTGGAAAACTGCCCATACTTTGTCTCTGCAAACAGGCTTCCTCCTATTTCTAGCCTCCAATCACGAGTGAAACTGCCCATACTGTCTCTGCAAACAGG